TTTAGCGCATAGGTACAAACAACTGTCAGAGTCCGTCTCCCCACTCGAAGGTGCAGGGAAGCCACCCTCTCAACTACCGGGGAAAACTCAACACACAGGCACCAAGTTGAGAGAGCTGCGACAAGACAGGAGGTCCCCCACCACCCAAACAACAAAAGCTGGACTCGGTGCAAAACCAGTAGGTGGGGGAGAGTTAAAAAAGTTGGTTGGACGGTTTGTCCGAATCCCCACCACTATAAATGCCGAGCTGCCTCACAGAGGAGCTTTGTCTGCGTATCTGGAGAAGGAGTATACAGAGATGGAGAGAAATCTGAAGGCTGCACTGAATGATGTCGACTTTGTGTCAACTACTGCAGATATTTGGACTGCTAATGTCAGTAACAGAAGCTATATGAGAGTAACAAGTTGACTGTCCTGATGGGACTTTACTACCCACACTTCAAGTTCTGATGCAGAAGACCCTGGCTGTGAAAAATTCGCTCTCCAGGATAACTGCAGGCCTTCCAGATGCTATAGTGAAGGTATGTTATATATTTAAGCAAGTTAAAGTTTCTTACATCACACTATTTTTGTACATTGTACAGTATATTCATTATCCTCACCAAAAGATCAAAACAAATACAAATGTCAGTAAGAAGTCTAAAACAAAATTAAATCCATAATATTGATCCCACATTAAGCATGGTTTGCAAGTAATTCAATGACCTAATAAATAGTAGACCTTGTCCAAACATATCAATTATATTTTTCAGGTCTATCCAGACTCGTTTTGCTGGTGTGCTGGACGATAAAGTTGCCCTTCTTGCAGCTGTCAGTTGTCCTAAATTCAATCTCCGATGGCTAAGAGACCAGATGGGAGGGAGCGAGTAAAAGAACTTTGATTTTGACTTTGAATGACTGTCTTTATTATTTTTTTAATAAAAAAAAAATTTATGTTTAACAAAGTGAAAAAAACTTCTATTAATTGTAAAAATAGTATTTGTTTAGTGAAGTCAAGAAAGGCACTGTTTAAGGTTGATTGATTGATAATATAAAGCAATTATTTATTTATGATACTGAAGTCAAGAAATACCACAATATTTTTTATAAGTATTTATGTTTAATGAAGTCAGATTATATATATATATTTTTTTTTTTATAAGAACAAGTATTTATGTTTAATAAAGTCAAGAAATACTGTTTAGTTTTTTTAATATGTATTTCCCCCCCCCCCCCCCCCCCCCCGAAATAGTTTTTAAGTTCAACTTTATATATCAGGAGGTACATTGTTGATGTAGGAGCCTAAACTAAATTTTGTAAAGATTATATGTATAAGTGAAGCTATTTGTTTTATGTGTAGATCTTTGTTGGTTTGAGGTTGGTAACATGTTAATTTAAATCATGTGATGTGGGTGGGGCGTGGGAGGAGAGTAAATCCAGCCAGATTAGATGGGGAGTAAAACCAAACAGTAATTGACCTCCCTAGCTCTTTTTCTGTTTAATTACCAACTCATGGATAAGTTGTTTTGCTTACTTTTTTGCTGTACATGTTTCTTTTTAAGTAAACCTTTAAACACAAGCCACTGAGAATAATTATTTTTTTCTGGACAAGAATTATGCCGGAGGCCATGGGAGCGTCAGGCTCAGGTTTCACTCAATAAGGATCTACAGTTGATATTACCATTAACATGCACTTTCAATAAAGTAAGTATTGGCAAAGCTCAATGTAAGTTTTATGTTGAGATACCAAAGGGTTGTTGTCAACAGCTTCTGAAATTAACTAATAAAGTAACTTGTAATCTAACAGTTACTTTCCAAATCAAGTAACTTAGCTAAGTTACTTTTTCAAGGACTAATCAGTAACTTAACTGAGCTACTTTTTCAATGTAACTATGCCATCACTGGTAGAGACCCAGTCACCAGACTCTTGCCAACAAGCCCCTCCCCCAGGCCTGACTCCAGGGTGGGTCCCCATAACCTACATCCAGGCAAGGGACACTGAGCTCCTTGTTTTTGATTGCCCATATAAGTTTTCGGAATCGCTCTTTGTCTAGCCTCTCTAGAACCAGTCTGCTTTGGGAGACCCTACCAGGGGCAATTAAATTGTCCCCGACAGCATAGCTCCTATCATTCAGGCGCACAAACTTTTCCACCACAATAAGGTGGAGTTTCAAGGAGGAGAACAAATGAAAGAATCAATTTTGGTGATCAGTCACGAATCATGAATGAATCATGAATTCATGAATAAATCATGAATCTCTAACCAGGATAATCACTGTGAAAAAAATCACATCATGCTGCTGATTTGTTTCATGTTCATTCATACTCATCTGCTCACACAGACTCATGTTCGTGCTGCTGTTCAGCGTATTGTTTTATACTACTAGTGTTTAGTGTATTTTCAGTTAACATTTTTCTTAGTTTATATCTTATTACTGTTTTTCTTTTACATTGTATACTTTTGTTGGATGTAAATGGAACCCTACACAATTTTGCTCCACCTCATGTACCACATGCGATGCAAATGACAATTAAAAAAACTTGAATCCTTGAATCTTGAACCCAATCAGGGCAGTGGAGTATGAAACAAATCAACACACAAATACACACAATAGTGTACATACATTTTGTCAGGTGCAAACCCAGAACAATGGTCCTTGGAAATAAATTTTGCCTGCCCAGTGTTCATCCAGTTTTGTGTAAATTGTAGCTAATTGTGATGCAAATTACTTTCATTGTATACAGATCCCTACCCATTCAGTAGAGATGCACATGCCTTTGAACTTTCCTTTGAAATTGTGTAAATAACAGTGTAATTTGTCTGGCAACATATTAAATAAATGACTTGCTTTTCCAACAGCCCGGCATAAAATTTGTGAACTGATTCCTCTAAGCAGCGCTATGAAGAAACTGAAAATGATCAACATCACACTGTGAGGAGATACTTCATGTAAGGCCCCTGGTGATAAGAAAATTATTTAATAAAGAAGCTGGCATTGGATTAAAGTAAGTTATATATTTATAGGTGTTTTGCTTAAAATTTTGTGAAATCCGCTTAAGTGTTCACATAGTTTTGAATGATTATCTGACACATCTGGATTAACCAGATGACTAAACAAACAAACAAATAAATTAATGAATTAATAAATAAACTTGATGATCCATATTCATCACCATCATTATTCAACAACAATAACAATAATAATAATAATTGTTATTATTATAAATGTTCACACTGTGTTCACAATGTTCACACTGGTACACTGTTTATATTTGTAACTGTTCTATACAGTGTATGGAAAGCCAACTTATAATTTAATAGTTTCCAGATTCAGCATCAGAAAACTCTTCATAAGAAGAACTTGAGGAAACACAGAGCAGCATGGAAAAACAATACAATTTAAATAAATAAATGGAAAAAAAAATACAAGTTTTAGGAAGTGGGTAAAGATAATGGATGGATGGATGGTATTATGTATTGATTTATTTTCTCTAACCATACCAGTCTAGAAGAAGTTGTGCAGCAACCTTGTGTTTGAATGCCAAGCACTGTTTTATGGATCTCCACTGTCCTAACTGATCACCAATATTTATTCCTGACAGTTCACATTTAGCAGAAAATTTACTCTTATATACAGTATTTCCACTTAAATGTCTTCTACGCTTGTCTAGCTTCCAAATTTGTTTACCTATACAGACTACAACCAGCTTAATGAATGTCAGTCCTATGACTCGAGCTCCCAAGTGAATTCAATGGATTTAGTCGAGTACCGGTACTTTGTTTACATTGATTATGGACTAATGTTACAGAAATACAAATTCACTTTATAAGTAATTTCTTTATAAAAATTTTGAATATCTGGGACAGACTTATTATTAGGAGAAATGCACTCAGAAATCTACAATCGTGTTGTAGTTCTAAGTTTTGTTTCATTTTAGTGACAAAAATATTGTAGATTATGAAAAAAAATATGTATCTTTTAGTAGTTCTTATGTCTCAGATATCAATGATCATTCTAGATAGAAAGAGTGTGCTGAAAGTCTGTAGCTGAAAGACCAATACACTTGGAAATGATGTCATCGGTCTTGATTGCTTGATTTATTTCAAGAAATTCTCTGGTCTAAATGCCAAGCCTAAGATCAGCACCCTGATGGTGGCTTAGTATATTCTGCCAAGGAACCAAAAACCGCATGGAGGGTCTGCCAAAAAATATTACTTCAAGACAAGAGCAAGAACAGGAGGCCTGATAGTTGGGAAAATTTGAATACCCAAGGAAGCGCGAATTCATTTTTTATTTTATTTTTTTTCATTTAGCCTTTATTTATCCAGGTAGTCTCATTGAGCCACGAGAACTCATTTTCAAGAGAGACCTGTTTAGGGAGCACATGGTGGGGGTTAAGGGCCTTGCTCATGGGCCCAGAGTGGGGCGAATGAGGGTGTTTCACCTACCCCACCCACAATTTTGATGTTGTCGGGGCTGGGGCGTGAACCGGCGATCTTCGGATCACAAGCCCACCTCTCTAACCTCTGCGCCACCACTCCCCCCATTCAGAGATCCAGCTGGCTTTAAGTGTCCATGATCTCCTGCAAACAGGACACGGGTCAAAAACAGCAGAGCCAGAAACAGTCAGAGCCCTATAAAGAGATGGCGCTGGAAACAATTACTCAGTTGTATGCAGAAGGTAAATTTATTGTGGAAATAACCTGCTCCATAATAAAGTAAAAAAAAAAAAGAATATTAGGAAAAAAAACGCCATATAATGTCTGTGATGCACAACCAGTGTAACCATTAATGACGTTTAAGAATCTTTTAGATATTTCAACGTTAGTTTTCCAATTAAAAACTTGTTTTTGAATGCATAATTTTCCTAGCAAAATAAGTTTATTTAAATATATTTAATTTCGTTTCTGACTGTTGCAAGAATCACGATTGGCCTAGATGAAATGCCACACTTACAACAGTAAATAGAAATGTGTGATTTGATTATATGGTGCAACGGCCTGCCAGACAACGCGAAGCGCCTGCTAGCTTCTTGTCAACGGAGCAGACGCTGAAGTAGCAGCAGGCAGCGGAAACGTTCCAGAGGACAGGAGGTTAGTGGGGGAAGAGTGAAAGGGCAGACGGAAGGGATACGGAACATTATTTCCTCACATCCGAACCGAGTCAATATCCGTATCGGTTTGCTTTTTCCCAATTTGAGAGACCTCGAATAAAAACACCAGCTGGAAAGGTTAGCTAGCCGCCGCCATCTCCTCTCAGTCGGAGCGACCGCCGTGTCTTCCACACCATGGGGAACGCTGCCACCGCCAAGAAGGGCAACGAGCTGGAGAGCGGTGAGTCCTGGCTGCAGATGTTTGACCTGGGTCCTGTTTTGTTTGGCCCTGTTTTGAGCCGGTCCACCAAGCCTTCACTAAGTGGCATTTGTTTCGCGTTTAAAATGAGTAACCATGCTAGGGCACAAGTACTGTCTTGGCATTCAGAGGGAGGGGAGAGCACGTCTTGTGTACTCAGGCCACTGAAGCATATGGAGGTGCTGTCAAACATGTTTACTGATGCTTCTGCAAACACTGACAGTTGGAAACATTTCATGGGCGTTTGCAAGCTCGAAAACGATCAAACTAGCCAACTTGCTAACTTTAGCTCTAATGGGGGGTGGGGGGATTAGCCCTCTGAAGGCCCCTCATTCCCTCCTGATGGTGGTAGCTGTTCCAGGCCCGTTAAGTTAGCCGCAGCTTGCAGTCGTTTCTTGTCGGTGCTTTTTCTTTCTTTCTTTCTTTTTTTAGATATAGGTTGAAAAACTCAAATCCAGCTCCATCCCATCACCCCTGGCTCGATGTCATCTTGAACTCGGGAGCTGTGAGGAATGTGGTTCCCACTGTGCATTTTGGCTGCAGGATCTTCTCAGCGCAAACAGCTGTGTCGGAGCGAAACTTTGCTTGAATCTGCAGTAATGAAGCACAGAGCCGTGAATAATTGGTATAAATAGGCAGTGAGTTTTATTTGAAGGCAGGGAGTGGGGCTGCTTTCTGCCTCGGTCCTCTGCCACATTTTATTCTTGGCTACATAAACAAAGCTGTCCCTCTAGAGGTTCAGCACCACCACCAAATATGGAAAAGAAATGACACATTCCCTCTTCTCATTCATAAAACTGCTGCCTGTCCAGTTTATAATGCAAACACACCCTTAATTGTGCCACTTTGTTTTGACACCCCTAATCTGGTTGTGGTAAAAGTCTTTCAGGGTTCACTTCTCACACTCCCCTTGCCATTGACTGGAGCAGCTTGTCGTCAGACCTCCGTCAGAGGATAAGGAGTATTACAAGCTTTGAAAGGTTTGACGTAGCTCAACCTGGGCCGGCGTTAGTTTACACCTGCGTACTTTGATGTGTGCAGCTGATTGCTGTCGACCACCCCCCCTGTAAATCACACAGTTGTTTCCCTGTGCATCTGTTGTTAACACCGAACTTGAACTGGATTTATTGTGCTTTTTATGGCCCGTTCATCTGAAATCCGTGGAATTGTTCAACCTAGTCCATAAAGTTTTGTTTTCTTAAAAACACAATAGGTCAAATCGGTTCAAAGTAACATCACTTTATGGCGCTTTGAGCTTTATTGACCTGTGGACAGACGCACCAGGCGGACGCAATAAAAATTGTGAACCAGCAGCTCGCAAGCAGACCGAAATAATCAAATCAGTGATAGTAGCTATAGTAGGAAGCGCTTGTTTTGAATTCAGCTGTGATCCCTAGATCCAGGGTCGTGGTGAACTGTTAAACCTGTTTAAGCTGACACGCTGCCCTGAGCTACAGATTTGTCTGGAGTGAAGCCTCTGTTGACAAGACGACCTGGTAACCTACAGTGCCGTGTTCCCGTGTTTACTGCATATAGTTGTCACTGGCTGGGTTAAGCGAGCACCAGCACACTCACAGTTGGACAGCAGGCCTAAGCAGTTGCTGTAGTGACACCTACTTTATCTTGCAGTGCCCGTGACCAGTGTTCACGCTGAAATGCTTCAGGACAGGCTGCAAAACTCAACCATGTTCTGCTTGGCTGAATGTTTGCCTTGATCCCTGAGACGGTTGTCTTAACTGTGCAAACGTAAAAGCTATGACTTTTCCCCCCCAAGCTTACAAAAGCTTGCCTAAACCTTCATATTTTTAAACTACTAAAATAGTCTGGGTGTAAATAGTAGATGATGCTGTTGCAGAGGCGTGCTGAACCTTTGACGATTTATCAACGTCTTAATTAATTAGAAGAAAAAATAATGTCCTTACGTTTTGGACACTTACTGTCATTCTTGGTTTTTCAAGATTCAGGACTAAATGTCTTTTTAAGTTCAATCAGAAATTAAAGTTATCTCCAGTTTGAGACAAAACTCAGAAAAGAAGTATTTCGAATGACAAAATATTTAGTTTTCTTGAAGCTACCAGATGATCTGCAAATATTTTTTTAAAATCTACTGTTAATGCATTAGTTTTGTTTCGAGATGGTTTATCTAAAATTTAGTTTTATTTAAAATAAGTCCTGTATAAAAAAAGCAGCCTCAAGTAGGGCTGGGGGATATATCGAATGTACTCGATGTATCGTGAGATTTTCTATTTCCGATGGTTAAAATGACTCTCTCACAACCATCGCGAGTATTATTAGACTTGAAAATCCATGTAGTTATTTTTCTCCCGTCTGCGCCTCCAACTTCACACAGCCCCTCCTTCTCCCTCTTTGAATACAAACACAGCACCTCACCCATGTACGCTGCACCCGTCTCCTGCTTCTCCAGGTGGGGGGCGGAGTTTAACACAAGTAAACAGGAGAGCAGCTTAGCTGCTGTGCAAAAAAAAACAAAACAATAGCTGTTATTTGGAGATGGTTTGGATTTAAATTGTCAGATGATCAGCAGAAAAATGTTTTCTTTAGAAAATTCTGAAAACAAGTCCTGAGAAAAATCAGAACTACAAATCTTTTTCACCATTTAAAACAACGCTATAAGTTCAGTTGTAAGCTGCAGCTCCGACTGTGTTTTCAGACTCTTTTCCTGAAGCAAACCGCGGGTCAAAACTCATTTATTAGCCGTGCTGTGCCTTATGAGAGGAACAGTGAGAGGTGGAGAGACATTAATAAAGCAGCAGCTTATCATATCGAAGACACGACAAGACGGCTAAAGTTAGACAGCTAAAGTTAGACAGCTAAAGTTAGACAGCTAAAGTTAGACAGCTAAAGTTAGCAGTCTTGTTAGCCGCTAAGGACCGTGTCTTTAGCGATATGATAAGCTGCTGATTTATTAATGTCATGCCACCTTTCACTGTAAGACATATGTGTCAAATTCAAGGCCCAGGGGCCAAATGTGGCCCTCGTTGACATCTTATCTGGCCCCCAAGATGTTATTTTAAATGTAAAATACTTTTATCACTTTAATTTTTTTTTCCAGTAATCTTTGATTTTGATGTGAAAATTGCAACAGAGAACGTCAAATAAGACCAATCGAACTCTTGTTGAGGAACCTGCAACCAAGAAAATATGTTTGATATCTAATTTGAGTTAATGTCGATTCTGAAACTGGCCCTTAGTTTGAAAAACAGTTTTAATTTTGGCCCCCTTTGGGGGTTTGACACCCCTGCTGTAAGACTTGTTCTTTTTCTGCCTATCCAGCTTCATACAGCCCCACATGTTGCTTCACACACGCTTACTAACGTTGTGAAGGCGGCGCAGCTGAAGAGGATTATTATTTAATTTATGTATGGTTGGTAAATAGTTTATTTTTTAGATATTTAGTAGAGTTACAGCTGTTTGTTAATAACTGCCCATGTGACGATTGTGACAAAGCTTAGACTCAGAAATATATATTTGTTGTTACTTTATGGAAAGAAAAAAATTATTCATTCAACTTTATTTATACATGTTAGTCTCATTGAGCCACGGGACTCATTTACAAGAGAGACCTGTTTTTAACAAATAATGAAGACAACAGTAGACAATCTTAAAAGAAAGCATATGAATTGAAAAAATAATAAATGGAAGCAATTTATATTAAAAGACGAAACAAAAACAACTACATTATAAAGAGACGTAAAATACTAAAAACAGGAACATGTCTGCATTGGTTTGTGCCACGAACTTAGCAGATGTTTGAATATCGAGATATATATCATATGTAGCGATTTATCTAAAAAATATCGAGATATTAATTTTGGTCCATATCGTGCAGCCCCACTGTGAAGTTTTCCAAACTCCTAATACTTTGGGACACACTTTGTTCAAATATAAAACCTTTTCGGAGTGCTCTCCTTTCAGTCTGTTCTAATGTGCATCACTGAGTTTCTGGAACATCCTGGTGCAGTTGTTCTTTGATGATGCACAGTTCGTCTCTGTTTAAGTTCCTCAGGTGACCGTCGACCGTTTTCTCATTCTTGTCGCTTCCGTTCACAACACACGCTTCTTGTTTGTTGCTGTGTTAAACTTGTTATGTACATGAACTCCATATTTCTCTCTGTCTTCTCTTTATTATTCCATCCATGTGGGTGATTGTTCCTGCAAAACCATGATGATCTGTAGAGACGTTTGGTACGCTGAATCCTCCAAAAGATGACCGGAACTGCATTGGCTTCATTGTGAAAACCTGCTAGATGTGCCTTTTTTTTTTTTTTAAACTGTGCTTTAATTATATATTTTTTGTTTTTGTTTTTTTTTTGTTTATTTGCATACTCTCAATCTGGATATCCACGGTCTGCTGTGTTTCTCATACATTGGTTTGTTTTTGCTCTTTATTTGAAGCTGTTGTTTAATAGCAAAACTAAGTGATGCTCAAGATGCTTACAAAATTTTACATTTTGTGTTTATTATTATTTAATTTCCTTCGGAATGAGGCTACCAAACAGAAAACACACTGAGTTTCTTGGCATGCATCACTTGTCTGCCTGTGAATGTTCATGTCTTGTGTTTGTGTTTTGCCCCCTCTTTAGACAAACCAGTGATGGTTTTTATAACACCTTTACTTTTATATCCAGATGAGAGCTGTGACTCTGCCTGTGATCTTCTTGTTTCACTTACAATTTAATTTAAAATCCCAACTTTTCTTCCCCTTTCCTTCTCCTTAATTTGTTTGCTAAATTAAAAATAACCCCGAGTATGTTGTTTGTTTGATGTAACCAAAGTTTTCCTTGCCAATTTAAATTTTTTTTTTTTTTTAAACATGCAAACTCTCACTCTCTGCACTTCATTTTTCTTTTCTCTTGTAGTGAAAGAGTTTCTAGCCAAAGCCAAAGAAGATTTCTTACGGAAATGGGAATGCCCCCCACAGGTCAGACGGATGAGAAGTTGAACATGACCTTTTGCAGTCTTTTGTAAATATCCTATTAACTTGAAGTTGTTTTCGCAGTGCACAACGTGCCTAGATGACTTCGACAGGATAAAGACCCTGGGTACTGGCTCATTTGGAAGAGTCATGCTGGTGAAACACAAAGGAACAGAGCACTACTTTGCCATGAAGATACTGGACAAGCAGAAGGTCAGTGGTGACTTTAGAGGGCTTCAAGATGAATTGTCCAACAACGTTGACACGCTGTATATTTTCAGGGTCAATACAATTTTGGGGGTACTTATTCTAGTCAACAAAATGAGTGCTTATCTGCTTAAAAATGTCATCGTTACCTTTATGAGTTGCATTACGGGGTTAGTTTGGGGACAAAAGTCATATAAAATATTAATAGCTAAAAACTGCCTTTGCTTTCAAAGTTCCTCTAACTTTACTGCTAATGTAAGCAAGATTTGTCTCAAGAGGCCATCTTTTCTCTGTATCTGTCAGGTGGTGAAACTCAAGCAAATAGAACACACGTTAAATGAGAAGAGAATATTACAAGCAGTGAGCTTTCCGTTTCTCGTCAAACTTGAGTACGCATTTAAGGTAAAGTGTGCTTGATTTACAATGTTGAAACAGAAATTACTTTGTTTTGTTGACTGGAATATTTAGGTGTCCATTTGATTTGATTCTGCAGGACAACACCAATTTGTACATGGTAATGGAGTATGTTCCAGGGGGAGAGATGTTCTCTCATTTAAGACGAATTGGACGGTTCAGGTAGGCTTTTTTTTAAAAATTTTTTATTTAGTTATTTTCAGTTATTGAATGCCAAAATGTACAGCTTGTTACAGTGCAGTGGCATCTAAGTTTGGTATTTTGTTTCTTGTCCAGTGAACCGCACGCACGATTTTATGCCGCCCAGATAGTGCTGACCTTTGAATACCTGCATTCGCTAGACCTCATTTACAGAGATCTGAAACCCGAGAACCTTCTCATCGACCACCACGGCTACATTCAGGTGAGCCAAAATGCTACAAATGAAGCCTCATTGCTGTTTTGAATCTTAATTTTGGGAAGCAGGGAATATATTTTGCCTTTTTGACTTCCAGGTGACAGACTTTGGATTTGCCAAACGGGTAAAAGGCAGGACCTGGACGTTGTGTGGAACACCGGAGTACCTGGCTCCTGAAATCATTCTCAGCAAAGTACGGGTTTAATATAGTTTTTGTTTTTAATGCACACATTAACCCTCATCTTTTTGAAAGGGAACAGTGCAAAGCTCTACTGCAGGGCTATTCAACTGGCGGCCTGCGGGCCATTTCCGGTCTGCGGGTGACTTCAGTCCAGCCCACTTCATTTAACAATCAGTTTTCTTGAATAGCTCGCTCTACTGTACTGTATGGTTTTATTGTACTTTTTGTACATCTGATTTAAAATCAGTGCTTTTCTTGTTATTAGGGGGCTGTGTTAGCTTGGTGGTCAGTGCTATCATCTCATAATCCTAAAGCTGCAGGTTCAAGCCCAGGTTGCATCAGGAAGGGTATCAGGCGAGAGAGTCCCCCTGGGCGACCCCCGAAGAAGGGAGCAGCCAAAAGCAGCCTTTTATTTTTATTTTTATTTTTTTACCCGCTTCTTCCTTTTCGGGTCGCGGGGGTCACTGGTGCCCATGTCCAGCTTTAACTGTGCGAGAGGCGGGGGACACCCTGGACAGGTTGCAAGTCCATCACAGGGACATTTAGAGACAAACAACCATTCACTCTCTCACTCTCACCTAGGGACAATTTAGAGTTACCAGTCAGCCTAACATGCATGTTTTTGGTCTGTGGGAGGAACCCGGAGTACCCGGAGAAAACCCACGCATGCACAGAGAGAACATGCAAACAACACCTAGAAAAGTCCCGGACCGGGATCTGAACCTGCAACCTTCTCACTGAGAGGCAACAGCGCCACCAACTGAGCCACTGTGCTGCCCCGTCAAAAGAACAACTTTCCTTAAGTTCCTTTTTGTGACCATGTTTTTGTCTCCTAAAGATGGGGAATCTGTTTTTTTAGTGACCATAGATCAGTCGTGTTTGTGTTTTTGTTAGCAAAACTAAAGTTGTAGGACATGCCAGGTTTAACAGTAACACATTTACCTTAAAGGCACTGTTTGGGTTTGCTAAACAACCGGTTAAAGCGCAGTGTTGACTTTTCTTGCTCCCTGCTCTGCTTTGTTCCACTCTGCTCACTCACAAGTCACGTAACCAGATCATGTGACCAGTCAAATCGCAGCCTTTGCAATTAGAAAAATCTCGTTTTATCATATTGCGATATTATTGGAAATGCAATTAATTGTTCAGCCCTAATCTGAGTAACTTAATGTGATACCTGTTTATTTTGCAAAAAATATCTGTCCAAAAATACTACATTCTGAAACAGACTAATTTTGAATGTTATTGTTTAGTGTAAATAAATGTAGAAACCATATACAAACCGGATTCCAAAAAAGTTGGGACAAGTCCATTTTTACCACTGTGTGGCATCCCCCCTTCTTCTTACAACACTCAACAGATGTCTGGGGACAGAGGAGACCAGTTTGTCAAGTTTAGAAATAGGAATG